TGATATAATCTAAATTAATAAATAATTAAATTATATAAATATAAAATATTTTTCATTATTTTTTTGGTTTTGAAATTTTTTTTTTTTTTGAATTAACCCTGAAGTCATGAGACTAGGGGTACAGGTTGCACTCTTTTATTAGAAATATAATAAATAGTCTATATACAACTTATGTATTTACATATTATTTTAGAATTTTTAGAAAGGTTGTTTGATGCATTGTATTTTAAAGCATGTATTTTTCTTGAAATACGGTTTCTAGTGATAGAGGTGAAAGAGGCTAGAGGTATATTCGCCTTTCCCCATTTTGCTACAGTATATCGACTCCAGATCTCATATATCGAGTTAATGTGGAGCCAAATCTTGGCTAGAGAGACTTGAGAGTATGGTGTGTTTAGAATTTGGAAGACTTCTTCCAAGATTGATGGGAAGGTTTTTTCGCTAGTAATATTCAGAAAGCTATAAGTCTCCTTCCAGATCAAGGAGCTAATCTGGCATTCAATCACAAAGTGCTTAGGTATTTAAAGATCATTTGGGCACCAAATACAGTTGTCTGACTCAGAAGGGCCTATGTGTTTGAGCTGATAACCTAGAGGTAAAGCTTTGTAGAATAGGTGCCAGAATATGTCTCTTTTTTTATTATTTATAGGTTTAAGTAAGAGCCAGAAAGATAGGGGTACTTGAGGAGAGATTCGAAGAGAGATAGAGAGTGTGGACATTTTTTTCAAAAGTTCTAAAACTTTTTTTGTTGTTATGTTAGATCCTTGAGTTTCTGCCATTTTAATTTTTTCTAACTTCCAGGGCCAATTTGTGGTAGAAGAGATTTTTCCTTTAATCCTATGCCAGGCCAAAAGATAGAGCTTCTATTCTGAGGGCCAGGCTTTAGTACAGGGTTTGTCCAGGCTTAGTGCTTGCAGGGAAGAGATATTTTTCTTGTGTCTAAGAGTTAAACTGATTTTTGTTCTTTCATGTATAGCTCATAACAAGCTTGAGGTCAGAAGTTTTAGCCATACAAAAATTAATCGAGCATCAAGTATATCTTTAATAATTGGTGCCTGCAGGCCTGCATATTCAGCAGACTATTGAAATGTGGAGTACTTGGAGAGTATCCGTAAAGTATCTTTAATCCAAAGAGATATGATTCTATTTATTTCAGTTACTTGTTTTCTTCCAGGGGGAAGAAGGTAAGCCGTGTACCAGATTTTAGATAAAATAAGGGCATTTGCAATTACAATTTTTCCTTTAAAGAAGAGGTTTCTGTCTTCCAGTTTGTCAATAGCCTTTTTTAATTTTTGTATTGTGGTAGACCATAGGCTTTTCTCAGTTTGGCCATTTGTCAAGATGTTATAGCCCAGGATTGTAAGAGTATCTTGTTTCTCTATTTTAGTGAATTGATCTTCATTAGGAAGGTCAACTTTCCGAGCTACAGGGGTAAGCGGAATGAGTTTGAATTTAATTTTGTTTATCTTAGCATTAGAGGCTGACTCGTATAGATTAACTAGAGCTAGTACCTCATTCTAGTTCATACGTGAGCCAATGCCTATAGTCAAATTATCCGCATAGGCAGAGACTTTGAAAAATTGGTTTTCTAGGCGAATTTCCTGTAGCTGTTCGTTTAAGTTTCTAATGAGTGGCTCAAAGGTAAGTAAATATAAGAGGGGAGAAAGAGGGTTCCCTTGTTATACTCCTCTTTCTACTCTGAGAGATTTGGAGATATTCTCTGCCTCAATTATATGTGCTTCTTGGCTAGCAAATAGATTGTGAATCAGTTTAATGAACTTGGTATCGAAGTTCATCTTGTTAAGAGTAAGCTCCAGGAAGTCATGATTGACTCAATCGAAGGCTTTCTGTTGGTCAAGGAAAAATAATCAGTGTTGTTTTGAGGTGTCTTCTTAAGCACACATTGTAGAGATAATATCAAGTACAGCATCTGTAATTGCTCTGTTTTTGATAAACCCATATTGTTGATGTGGTATAATCTCTTCACAGATAAGATTGAGACGATTCGTGATAATCTTTATAAATATTTTAGCATCACTATTAACTAGTAAAATAGGCCTTCAATTGCTAATATTATCTAGATTAGATAGCTTTTTTGGAATTAGAGAGATTAGACTCTTAAGCCATGAGGATGGTAAAGAACTTGAGCTAAGAACTTGATTGAAAATTTTGTGCAGAAGAGGAACTACTAGCTTCTCAGTTAGTTTATAGAACTCATAAGTGAGTTTATTGGTGCCAGGTGCCTTATTATTTGGTAGCTTTCTGATGATACTACTAATTTCTTCTTGTGTTATTTCTTGTGTTAAAGCTGAGTTGTGCTAGGGTAAAACCTGCGATAGATTGTTCGTGATTTGGCCTGCTGTATCAAAATTGATGTTCTCTTTTTTATATAGTTTAGCATACGTGTCCCTGATATATTGCAAAGTATTTTCTTCTGTTTGTACTGGCGCTGCTGGGTTTTTAACATCTTTGAGAGCAGAGTGTGCTTTTCTAGCTTTGTATCTGGCAAAGAAATATCTAGTAGATTTTTCTCCTTGTTTGACCCATTGGGCCTTGGAACGGGTTTGCCATTTGTTTGCAAAAAGTACTAGTTCCTCTTGAAGTTCCATTTTGAGTCTTTCTACTTGTAAGTATAAATAAGCATTGTCAGAGTTAAGAGCTAGTTTTTCATTCAAAGATGTTATTTTCTTATTCATGCTTGAGATCTTGTTTTCTGTAGCTCTTGGTTTTCTAAAGGCTCTGATGATTGATTGTATATGAATCTTACAAAAGTTCTAATCTTCAGGTTTTTTTGTTACTGATATTTCTTCTAAAATTTCTTTTTTTAGCATTTTATTTTTAAAGCAGCTTGTATCAAATCTCCAGAGAGCAGAAGCTTTGCTTTTGGGTTTGAGACTCAAAGTACATTCTACAAGGAGGTGATCCAAGTTTTCAAATCTTGTAATGGTTTGAGATATTAAGTGGGCATTGTTCTTATCTATGAAGATATAATCCAAGTGGGTTGCCATAACCCAGTTACCTTGAGTTCTTTGAAAATAGGTATGAAAAGGTTTCGTAGCAACTGGGCTAGAGGAGTCTAGAAAGTTTTTAGTGAGCTCTTGTAAAAGTAGTCTTGATGAGTCTTGTTGAGAGGCAGCTTGGCTGATTCTGTTCCTTTCAGGATATAAGTTGGTGTTGAAATCACCTGCGATGATATTAATAGAGTTTTCATTAACTTGCAGAGACCATTGATTGAAAAAGAGTTTTCTGTCTTCTTGATTAGAAGGAGCATAGATGTTAGATATTTGGAATGAGAGATTTTTATAGCTAAAGTTGGTAGATATAACTCTATTATTTAGATCTGTCTTGGTATTCTTGAAACAGATATCCTTGTTGCCTGCAAGGATAGCTGTTCTATTAGTCCAAATTGAGTCATATATCCATTAGTTCTTTAAAAAGTTTTGAGTGTTGGTGTTGTCTAGATTTGTTTCTTGTAATATAATTAAGTCAAGTTTATAAGATTTAAGTAAAGTTAAAGTGTTTTTTTGCTTAAGTTGGTTGTTCAACCCTTTTATGTTAAGAGTTGCAATTTTTATATAGTGTTTGTTACTCATGAGCTGTATAAAGTAGTGCAAACAGTAAATCTAGAAGCTGTATGCCCCATTTCAGGTTTTCTTGAATGGGGCTGGCCTGTTTGCATCAGAATTCTGGTTTGCTAGAGCTTTTTGACCTTTCTTTTTCCTGCACACTGTTGTGAAAGGTTCCTCCTCTATGTTATCATTTTGGGGCTGAGTGGTTGTATTATTGTCGATAAGCACTACTGGGAAGGTAGAGGGGAGGAGTTCTTCTCTTGGTGTAGTTTTAGCGGGAGATGGGGTGTTTGATGCTATATCTGTTCTATCATTATTTTCAGGAAAGTTTATATTAGTAGTTTTTTGGGCTTCTTCAGACAACCAGGGATTTTCAGTAATTTTATTATCAACTGGGACAGAATCAGAGGAGGAGGCAGTAGTCATCTGAGAGACCAAAGGATTTCCATTCTTGTTACAGGTATCAGAGTCTGAGAGGAATACGTCTGGCTTGTTAGCTGCTGAAGACTGATTTAATTTTTGTCTTCTATTAGTGACATATACTTTGTATTCCTGTTGAAGCTCAAGAGCTTCTTTGAATTGGTCACAATCTTTTTTGATATGCCCTTCTTTATCACAAAAATAACAGATTTTGGAGGCTAATCACTATTCTGTGGTAACTTTGTTGTTAAGAAGAATATAGAAGCGGGAAATTCTTTTTTCTAAATCTGAGTTGTCTGTGGTTTCGAAAGAGACTATCTACTGATCAGTTAAGTATGATGTACCCTCAATTAGCAGAGGCCTAATGGAGGCAATTTTGCCTATATCACCAAAAGCGGCTTGAATCTCGCTTAAGATCTCTTCTTTGTTTCTTAGTGGAATATTTCTAATTTTGACAAACAGAAAAGATCTTCTTGTATTAGTATGGATATACCCATAGTATACTTTATTAAAAATTTCTACACCCCTGGTAGCATAGAGCTTGAGTTTTTCTTTGTTTACAAATACCAGTTTTAAATGTGTGCGCACACCCCTGTGAATATGAGGCCTAGCTGCTAAAATATCACCCCCTGTGGTCTCAAAGAGAGAGACCATAATTTCGTTTAGAGAACTATCAAGATGTTCTATATCAATGATAAGGGTATTATCATTTTTGGATCATATGTCTCTTCTTGGAGAAAAGAATGAGAAAGTTGATTGGCCTCTTTTGACTCTTGCAAAGAGACTAGACCAGGGTTTTGGAGAGGGTTTGTTGCTACTATTTGTAGTAGTGGTTTTAGATACTGAAAAGTACATGTTGTGTATTTTTGTGTTTGTTGTTTCTATTGTTGTGTTTACCCAGTTTTCTTGCAATGTTGAACGTGTTTCAGGGCTGGACATGTTTGTTTTGTTATTTGTAAGCAGTTTTTCATTGTTCATTCTTGTTTCGATTTTTTGAGAAACTTGCTCGTTCTAGCTGGGTCTATCATTGATTGTAGAGCTTTGTTGTAACAAATTTGTTGCTGCAGCTTGGCTATCCTCTATAGCCATAGGTCCTTTGCTCACAAGTAGGCTGTTTGTTTGTCTAATAGAGATTGTTGCTTCTCTAGAGAGGGCTCCAGTGTCTTAGTTTTCTTGTTTTTATTAGTTTCTGTGCTAAAAAGTTTCCGTTTCTTAGGAACTAGGGGGGAAACCCCTGTTCTGTTGCTGGTTTTGAGTTTAAAAGGCTCTTGTGTAGAGTTTATTTTGTCTTTTCTATATTTTCTCCATCCTAGATGTATGTGGTTAGAAGAGAGAGTACAACGATCTTTATCCTGTTTTGAAATTTTTGGTAATGGGCAATATTCATCTTTTTTTTGCAGATCTTTAATATGCTGACATATTTGCTCATATAAATACTATTGTCTTTCAGCTGATAATTCTGCAGGAAAAATTTCTTGAGGAAATCCTATAATCTTAGTATTTTTTAATCTTAAAATATTTATAATTTGTTTATCTTTATCAATTGCTGTTTTAACTTCTATTTTATCTATATTATTTTGAGATAATATAAAATGATGATATGTTAAAATATTAGGAATTGGTTTAAAAAATTTTAGTAAAAATTCTGTCCAATTATAAAAATATACTATTTTATTTTTACTTTTATCAAAAATTGTTTGTGCTCAATTAAAATTTCCATTTGTTGAATTTTCAACTACTTTTACTAAATCATCAAGATTATCAACTTTTGATTTTCTTGATTTTAATTTAAGGGTAGGGTGAAGGATCTACATTTCTAATAGCAATTATGTTGCTAAATTTTTTTACAATAACATTCAATTGAAATCAGGTGATGATCATATGTTATTTATATTGTACTACCTAGGCAAATCCTTGTACTACCTAGGCAAATTAAATAGTAAAAACATATGAAAATCAATTTTTACTATATTTGTCAAGTGATTACTACTAAAAATGGAAATCGTTCACCCTACCCTTAAGAAGACCAAAAAATCTATTAGGACTAAATTTTGTATAACCAGCTACCATAAATGAATATGTAATTTGAGTATATAATCTACATACAATTCGCCATGCTAAATACATAATTACTGCATTATTTTTATTTTGTTCAGAACAATTATCTGCATGGATAATTAAATTGGTTTCATCTAATCCATAAAAAGTAAAATAATGATGTACTAATAATATAACTGCATTTGCATCTTTTCCAATACTTTCTTCTTCTTTTATTAAATAATTATACTAAAAATTTTATTAATAAATAAATTTTAATTTAAATATTAAAATATTATTATTAAATTCTTACTTGAATTGGAATGCATCTTCACAAATTCCAAAAAGTTGAATATTATAAGGAGATTTAAAATATATATTTCACTTTTTAAAAAATTTTAATATATTATATAGTTAAATAAAATTAAAAATTTTAATTTAATTTAATTAATTTTTACCTCTTGTTGTGAAGAATATAGTATTTTTATTTGTTTAGCATAATCCCATGAAATATGATTTTCAAATTTTAATGAATTTGGCTTATTAGGTCAAAAAAAATTAGGAAAATTAGAAAATTGTAAAATAGATTTTGTTAATTGAATACAATTTCTAAAATTTAATAAATAAATTAAAATTTAAAATATATATTTAAAAATTTTTAAATTTTTTTTTTTTTTTTCAGTATTAAGGTGACCTCCTTGGCCTGGGGACTTTTTATTAGTAATTATTAGTTATTACAG